ATCTGGACCATTATGTCAGATAGATGTACTACAATCAGATCTCAATGTCACTTGTTAAACTTTTCCAAAAAAAATCTTATTTTTAGCTCAAGCAGCAAAATTCTTGAGAGACTTAAGCCAAAACCCCCATTCCTATCTGCTTCAACTTCGTTTTCTTCCTTACCACTGATGTAATATAAAAATTGTTGATAACAAAAAAAATCACTCACTTGGTATGCCCAAGCAAAAACTCTTGTATCTCTGAAGGCCCCATCCAAAGGCTCTGGGAAACACAGTAATCCTGTCATAAGATTAACAATATTGGATAAAGAAATAAAATTGGAATTGACTAAATATTTATTTATTCAATGGGGAGGAAAATGAGTTACACGAATTTTAAAATCCTGATCATCGCTAACAATGAATCGGTTCTATCTGGTAAGTATTTCCTGTAAGAAGATACAAACTGTTTTAGAATAATCCATGCCATTTTTTTTTCTGTCATTAATGGGAAATCAGCGGAAATGACCACTGATTCACCAAAAAAAAAAAAAAAACAAAAACAAACAAACTTTGAAAGGTTTAGAAAATGTCCTTATGATTAAGTATACTAAAACAAATTGCCCGTAATTGCAACAATTCATCACGTTTTCCGGGATTTAGTGGGAGAGCTGTGTCTCTGCTAGCGACCAAGCGTTCGAACAAATTTTAAAACTCTACAACAACACATTCAATTTTCCTTTTTTTTTCCCCCTTACAAAAAACCCTAAAAAAAAATCCCAAATTGTACAACAACAACAAAAAACCTAATTCTACAACCTTAAAAAAAAATCCTAAAAAAAAACCTAATTCTACAAACAACAATTTTCATTGTTAGTTATTACCTGTGGTTGGAGTCGCTGGTCGGGTCGTGAGACAGAATCGGGCTGGTCAGAGAGAGAGAGTCGAGAGAAGACAGATCGCTCCACAGAAGAGAGTCCGGCAGGACTGAGCGGCGAGAAGCGAGTCAGGCGAGAGACTCGATCGTCGGAGAGAGAGACTCCACTCGATCGTTCAGATGTGAGAGGGCTCGGCGGTTGGACAGCCTTCGGTCAAGGTCGAAGAGAAGCCGGTTGTAAGGGAAAGGAGGAGTAGCCGTAGCGAAGAGGGAGGGTGGGTATCGAAAAGGTTCGAAGGGTCTTCAATGGCTGTGCTATGATGAGAGACACCTGTGACAGAGAAGGGGAGAGAGGGAGCTGAAGAGAACGGTGTTTTGGGACGTGGGAGAGAGGGAGGATGAACTCAAGCGGGGGGAAATGTATCTCTGATTCATCTTGGCGTTTGATCTAAACTCAGGATTCATCTTGCCCTTAAAAACCAAATGTATCCACATACATTTAAGACATTTTCAACCAATCCCTCTTGCCTTATATATAGATATATGTAAATATGAGTAAAATAAATAATTTTTAATCGAATATATAACGTGTACACACACACACACACACACATATATACAATATTAGATAATATTTAAGGGGTTGGATTAAAGAATAGGGGCTTTTGATCTTTTGAATTTCCATCGCATCCAATTATTTTCTGTTTCTGAGCATTGGGCGGGTGCAGCGAAGGGCAACCGAATTCGAACAACACCGCCGCAAGGCGGCGAGCCGGTAATAGTGTGCGTTGGTAATGTGACTATCCACATCCGATGCCCTCTAAACATCTAAAGTCGGTTGCAAATCAGCTTTACTCCACCGTTGGATCCTTCAAGTCCGTTCGTCGCCCAAAATTGCCGAATCCCGTTGTAGCAACAACGCCCAATGACGCGACAGAGAAAGAAGCCTCCTCGGAAAGTTCCCGCCGTGTTTTGAAAGAACGGAAGGCCTTTCAAAATTTGATGCGGCCGTCGGAAAGTAGCGCCAGATTCAACTTTCGTGGTTTCTTCTTCTCCCATTATTATTATGTATATATATATATATATACTTATATATGTGCTAAAATAAGCAGTATCCAAAAAGAACTCTGAGGCAAAAACAGATTGATGAGAGAAAGGGAGACCCAAATCAAAAAAAACTTTGAGGGCATTATAAGAAATTTCAGTTTTTATCTTTTTGATGACATTAGTAACTTTATGTTATTGCATGAACGACAGTCAAAAAATGAGAGAAATCTTGACATTATAGGTTAAAATGTAGGAAAGGTTACTGTAATTCATTCAAACCACAGAGAAGTTCCTATAATTTATTAAAAACCTCAAGAGAGATAAATGTAATTTACCTTTTTTTCTTTTTAAATATCATGTTGACAGTACACCTAACTAATAACCATAAGTGTTAAAAATTTTCATAAACGCTAAAATATAAAAGATTAAGTTGAAAAATAACATAATCTTATTGAAAAATGATCACGTATTCTTCCTAAATTATAGGATAATTTTTCTTTTTCGTTGGTTTTGGACCGCAATGGCTTTGGAGCAAGAATAATTCTTCCCTTCATTGTGTGGCACCACTTGTTCAAATCTAACGTGCGTGCCTTGACCATAATAATTTTTCACATAAAGTTTAAATTAAAATAACATGTTACATAATTTATAAGTAAATATTATAATTTATGATAATTTGTGATTTTTAAAAATAATTATATTTTTTATTAATATTAAATTTATAGTATTTATTATAAATATTTAAATTAAAAAAATATATATAATTATTCATAAAAAATACGTAATCATTAATACAAAATAATTTATTTTTTAATTTATAAATTGTTCGTAATTTTTTACAAAGACTAATATTATTACCAAAATATATAACAAGGTGCGTTTTATAGTAATAGACTTTTGCAAAATATCATCAAATCTGCTAAAACCGCATGATCTGTACAATCTTACTATTCTTAAAAATTTTTTCCCCAACCTAAAAACTTTGCAGATTAAATTTTAAATTTATAATCCATCTTCGAAACTGCTCCATTCCGTTATAGTTAATATATATATACTTACCTTAAGTAAAATTTGTTACAAATGAGTAGTTTATATATTTTGAAAAAAAAATTATGCAAAAATTAGTTTATGTTAGATATTATAAAAAAAAATTATTTTTAAATTTTGTGTTATATAAAATGTTTGCAAGTTATGATATGCTCTGAGGGGAACTCCTTAAAGGAGAATAGTATGTTATTATAATTTTGAAAGTTAAATTTTACTTGTTCAAATTCAATGTTGATGGTCCATTGGAATATATAAGGCAGCTCTTTCTTATATCTTTTTACAATTATCAATTCCAATTCATTTATTTTATACAAATATTAATCTAGAAAATTAGGGTTTATATCATTTTTTACCCCCCAAATATTTTTTAAAATTTTTTTCTTATAGAAAGAAAATAGGGGTTTATATCATTTTCTAAAGAGAGAGAAAAAGTAGAGAAAACAAATTGGCGTCTCAAAAATTTATCACCAACGGTTGAATTATTTATATTTTCTAAGTGATGTCGGATCCAATCATATGTGATTTGGTGACAAATTTCGTCATGATACATTTCATAGTATATAGAAAATTGTTGTTTTAAAAGGCATTTATGGCCAATGATCCAACATTCAAACATAAAATTTGAATCTTAGATAATAGTTTATAAATTTATCTTTATTGTAAAAAAACATCACAAAATCATTCTATGAAAAAATGATAAGAGGGATGCTGTGATCTTTACTAGTTTACTTTTACCAACAAAAAAAAAAAAATTCTAATTAATTTGTTTTAGTAGGAGAATTTTTATAAATTAAAAGATATGGAGGAAATATATTCTCACTTGTTTTGTTTTGTCCTAAAAATTTTTCGGGAAATTTATTTCACTTTTTTTGGCGTATCCAACCATAGAAAACAAAATGTAAAACATTCTTTTGTAATCAATATTTTTTTTTTTAAATGACAAAAATATGAAATGTTACCAAAATTGGCATATTTAACATATTTCAAATTGGTAGTGTGGTCACAAAATAGAGGTCATGACTCCACAACCCTATCATCGTCGTCGTCACAACCACCACATTAACACCACCAGTAACATATTATTTTTAAAGTTACAACCAAATATAAATAAATAATTTTATAAAATTATTTTTTGGAAAATATTTTTTACCAAAATAGATGGAGCATTAAAACATTCATCTTCCTCATCCATGAATTTTGTAGAATGTTATTGTGGAGGGTAGAAATCCAAATCCAGCCTAATCGGAGCCATAATGTTACACATTCACACTACAAGAAATGTCACTTTTGGCTACCAAAATATTGGTCGCCAAAAGTCCAATATTTAGTCTCCGAAACCATTTAGCGACTAAAATATTTTGCCGCCAAACTCATCGCCTATACCCTGTAGGCGATAGTATTGGCGACTAAACTATTTTTGGTCGCTGAAAGTGAACGTTTTGGCTACTAAATTTTCATTAGTCGGCAAAGGTTATGTTTTGGCGACTAAAATATTAGTAGCCAAAAGTAAGCATTTGGCTACGAAACTTTGAGTAGTCGGGAAAGGGGATATTTTGGCGAATTAAATTTTCAGCGACTAAAACTTTTTGTCGTAGATAAGTTTTAGTCACAACATTACTACATTTAGGGACTAAAGAATTTAGTCGCCAAAAAAATTATTTTTCATTTTATTAAACTTTTGCCTACTAACCATTTGGTAGCCGAAAGTCTTCCTTATATTTTTAGCTACTAAATTTTTAGTCACCAAAAATCTTTGGGTTCTTTATGGCTACCAAATATTTAGTCACTAAAAATATTGATTTCCTTTTTGGCTACCAATTGGTTAGTCACTAACAAATTCACTTCTTCTTTTTTTTTTCGCTACTAAACATTTAATGGAAAAAACTTTATTTTGTGTTTTTTTTATTATAATTAATTTCTTCACAACCTGTATTTAGTTCGTGCAACCTGCACCCTGTGTTTAAACAAAATAATACATATATCTATTTCTATTTCGTTTTAACAATACAAAAATTTGATCTTTTAACATCAAATTCTATACAAATCTGAATTATCCAACCCAAAATAATAATCCCATACAAACACAAAATCATACAAAAAAGATGTCCTCTGTACAAAAAATTCTACATCAAATGTCATTTACAGAATATTTTGAAGGTGTAAACATGATGGGAAAATTAAATTTATTTACTAAAACACTTGCTTAATTTAACAATGAAACCATTGATCTAAACGCTTTTCATCCTTCAAGCTTGCTTCATATAATTTGGTACCTTTCTTTCTGAAGACACCAACTGCAAAATTGTAATATGTAGTAATGCAATCAGAAAATCGAGAACTGGAATGGAAAGATGCAAGAACATTTTCCAATACACCCATTGCCCACGTCTTATAAAACATTGTAATAATCGCACCTTCAAATATAGTAGGAGGCTAAAAATCATTATGTGATCTATAAGTAAATCCACAACTATCAATCATTAATCTAAGATGCAACAAAATTTGGTATTTTCTCAAGCATATCTTAGCACTCAAAATCATTAACGCATAACTAAAAAATATATATCATTTGACCATATTACTACAAATATTCGATTAACGTAATTTTTTTTAAAAGTACTCAATAAGCCTTGCATAATAAATAATTTAAATTATTAAAATTGTCTGAAATGGACTCAGTCCAGCTCTCACAGCAGCTTGTTGAATTAGATGTGCTCAAGTTTAGACCAAGTAGTAGAAATGGGTCTTCAATATGCAGAATGCCCAAAATTGACTTCTTTTCATATGATTAAACTAACCAACACATTCAAATAAGTACAAGAATCTGAGTGAGTTAGAGCATAAAATTGCCTTCAATCCACCTAGTTCCAACTAAATATGAATAAAATATATGGGGATTCATCAACGAATGAGAATTTAACCACAACATATCTCATCAATAAATGCATACAAACAAACACAATGGTGATATTATATCCCAATTTTTGATGACCATGTTCCATGGGGCTTGACTAATTATGCAGTGGTTTGATTTGCTATTAATGTCTATCTCTCTAATGATCTTCATTAATGTCTATCTCTCAATAAAATCACAATACTCTGTAACAGAGTTACAATGGTGTACATATATTGGTGACCATGTTCAATTGTGAAAGCAGATTGAAACAGATTCAAACACTCCATGTTCCAATTGTTTCTGATAAATTTGTCACTTGAACATAGAATCAAACACTTGGTGGGCAAAAAATTTAGCAATCCACATATCAAACAAACAATCACCTAAACCAATGATCCAAATTCAGAGTTTATGATCTAAATTTTCTAAATAATAATAGACCATAGATAATGAACCCAACAAAATACTAAAACCCCGATGAATTAAGAAAATGGCATTATTAATCCGTAAAAAAATAAATGAAAACCTGGAAGAGTGGGCATGGTGCAAGAAGCAACGGGCTTGGGCGACTTCTCGACCTCGACAAGGCACGTACGGCAGTTTCCGGCAATGGAGAGGCGGCTGCGGTAGCAGAATCTGGGAATTATCCAAAAAAAACTACAAATCAAACTCCTACTATTAATATACCCATTTTAGAAATCCATTCAAAAACATATAGAAGATAAGGGAGATAGATAGCGTCCAGAAATTGGAGAGAGAGAGAGAGAAACACTACTACAAATATAGATAAATATCACACTTTTTTTATGTGATGTATGTTTTTTAATCACATTTTAAATTTTATTAAAGTGTGATATTTGGGAGTGTGATTAAAAGAGGTCATTTTTAATCACACTTTTTAAGTGTCATTAAAAATGATTTCATCTCATCTTTTAAGTGTGATTAATAATATTTAGATCACATCTTTTAAGTGTGATTAAAAACATTTAGATCACATCTTTTAAATGTGATTAATAACTAATAAAACCTATGATAAAAAAAAAAGAATTCAACATATTTAAAGAATAATCAATATTAGTTTTGTATGCACGTTTGAATAATATAATACACACTATATACTATATATATTTCGAATC